CTATAACCTCTGCCTCCCAGGTTTCAGCCATCCTCCCACCTCAGCTTCCCCAGTAGCTGGGACCACAGGCGCACATCACCACACCTGGCTAATTTTTGTATTTTTGGTAGAGATGGGGTTTCACCATGTTGCCCAGCTGGTCTTGAATTCTTGAGTTCAAATGATCCACCCACGTTGGCCTCCCAAAGTGCTGGGGTTACAGGCCTGAGCCACTATACATAGCTGACAATTTTTATTAGTCAGTTAAAATAATTTTTTAAATAAACTTAAATGTAAATAGTCTAAGCACCCTAATTTAAAAGAAGAGATTGTCAAAATGGATTCTAAAAAATTAACAACCACCTATATGGTGCCTACAAGAAACCCACTTTACATGTAAAGACTTAGCCAGGTTTGGTGGCTCACACCTGTAATCCCAGTACTTTGGGAGGCAGAGGCAGGCAGATAATTTGAGGTCAGGAGTTCAAGACCAGCCTGGACAATATGGCAAATCCGATCTCTACTGAAAATACGAAAATTAGCCTGGGGTGACAGTTCATGCCTGTAGTCCCAGCTACTTGGGAGGCTGAGGCGGGAGAATCCCTTGAACCCAGGAGGTGGAGGTTGCAGTAAGCTGAGATCACACCACTGCACTCTAGCCTGGATGAGAGAACAAGACTCTGTCTCAAAAATAAATAAATAAATAAATAAAATGTAAAGACTACACAATATCCTACTCCATGTGCCTCTTCCCTTGGCTGAATTAATCTGTACCCTTTTACCATGTTTAAAAAAAAAAAACCATAACCCTGAGTAGAACAGCTCTGAGTTCTGTGAATTTTCCTAAAGAATTATCAAACATGACAGTGGTCTTGGGGACCCCTGAATTCTGCAACTAGTAAGTGGCTTTAGCAAGAGTACAGTATACAAGGTCAATATACCAAAAAAAAAAAAAAAAAAAAAAACTGCATTTCTATATACTATACAAGCAATGAACAATGGCAACTTCAAATTTTAAAAGTAATAGCATTTATAATAGTACAGGTATCAAAAATATGAACTACTTAGGGATAAATCTGATACAAGATGTGTAAGATCTACAAAGCATTGTTGAGAGAAATTAAAGAAAACCTAAACAAATTGAAGAGGTACACCAATGTTTATGGATCAATGCAATCCCAGTCAAAATCTCATCAGGTGTTTGGCAGAAACTGGCACCAAGCTGATTCTAAAATTCATATGGAGTGTATAAAAATAAGATAAAACTCATATGGAAATGCTAAATACCTAGAATACTCAAAACAGCTTTGATGAGGAACAAAGTTTCAAGATTTGCATTACCTAATTTCATGACTTATTATAAAGTTACAGTTATCAAAACAGTGTAATAATGGCACCCAGATCAATTTAGTAGTACAAAGAGCTCCAAAAAATGTAGTCAACTGATTTTCAACACAGGTGTAAAGGCAATTCAGTGGAGAAAAAGGCAGTCTTTTTAACAAATGTAGGCACAACTAGATATCCATATGTAAAAAAAAAAACAACTTGGATTCCTACCTTATACCATACATAAAAAGTAAATCAAAATGGATCACAGAACTAAATATAAAATCTAAACCTATATATCATCTAGAAAAAACGAGATAAAATCTTTGTGACCCTGGATTAGGCAAATATTCAATATTCTCAGACATGACACCAAAAACTGGAGCTACAAAAGAGTTGCACTTCAAGATTAAGAACTTCTGCTCTTTGAAAGGTACAGTTCAGATAATGAAAAGCTATAGAGTAGAAGTAATATATTTGCAAATCACATATCTAAGACTTCTATCCAGAATATTTAAAGAACTCTCACGATTCTGTAATTAAAGAAAACTAACAACCCAATCAACACATGTGGAAAAGATTTGAACAGATAAGTCACCAAAGATATATGAATGGCCAAAAAATAAGCCAATGAAAATGCTCAACATCATTAGTCATTAGAGAAATGCAAATTCAAACCACAAGGAGATACAACTTCATACCCACTAAGGTGGCTGTAATCAAAAATACAATACCAAGTGTTAGTGAGGATGCAGAGGAACTGGATCCCTCACACATTGCTGGTGGAGATGCATGACGGTACACACACTTAAAAAACTGGCAGGTACTTGTTTAAATTTAAAACATTCACTTACTATGTGACTCAGCGATACTATTCCTAGGTATTTACCCAAAAGAAATGAAAGCATACGTTCATACAAAGACTTGTACACAATTGCTCATAGCAGTTTTATTTGTGATAGCCAAAAAGTGGGGAAAAAAAAAAAAAAAAAAAAAAAAAAAAAAAACCAAATGTCCATCAAAGGTGGATGGAGAAACAGATTTTGGTACAAACAATGTGTTACTACTCAGCAATAAAAAGGGATGAACTGGCCGGGCGCAGTGGCTCACGCCTGTAATCCCAACACTTTGGGAGGCCGAGGTGGGTGGATCACGAGGTCAAGAGATCGAGACCATCCTGGTCAACATGGTGAAACCCCGTCTCTACTAAAAATACAAAACATTAGCTGGGCATGGTGGTGCGTGCCTGTAATCCCAGCTACTCAGGAGGCTGAGGCAGGAGAATTGCCTGAACCCAGGAGGCGGAGGTTGCGGTGAGCCGAGATCGCGCCATTGCACTCCAGCCTGGGTAAAAAGAGCAAAACTCCATCTCAAAAAAAAAAAAAAAAAAAAAAAAAAAAGGGATGAACTACTAATGTACAGAAAAGCACAGATGATATCAAAATTATTACGGTAAAGGCTGACGCAGGAGAATTGCTTGAACCTGGGAGGTGGAGGTTGCAGTGAGTCAAGGTCGCGCCACTGCATTCCAGTCTCAGCAACAGAGCAAAACTCCATCTCAAAACAAAAAAATATATTATTAGGGTTAATAAAAGAAGCCAGACAAAAAAAGAATACATAGTATGTAATTCCATTTCCAAAAAGGAATCTAGAAAGCACAACGTAATCTATAGTAATAGAAACCAGATCAGTGGTGGGAAGACAGCATGAAGGAAAGAGCATGGGATTACAAAGAGGTACAAAGCAGCTTTTGAAGTGATAGATATGTTAATTATCTTGACTGTGGTGATGGTTTTATGGGCGTGTACATATGTAAAAACGTCTCAAATTGTATATTTAAATATATGCAACTTAAAATATACCTATTTATTAAACTTAAAAAATAAGAGATAAAGAAAACAGCCAAGATGTTCCTAAAGTTAAGACAGCAGACACACACATATGCATGCACCACACACTCACATAAAACAGTGGGGAAAGGGATAGCTTTTGCAATAAATTAAGTTGGGACAAATGGGTATTCCACGTGGGGAAAAAAAGAAGGAATCTTCCACACACTGAGCACAAAAACAATTCCAGGTGGATTGTAAATCTAAATGTGAAAGGACAAATAAAAGTTCTGAAACATAGGGTAGACAAAGATCACTTAAATAAGTCACAAAAATCACTAACCATTAAGATTTATAAAATTGACTATATAAAAAATAAGATCTTCAGTTCATCAAAAGATACCATAAAACGAAAAGATAACCACAGAAGGAGTGAAAATATCTGTTATACAACTAACAAAGGACTGAGAATATTCAGAATATATAAAGAACTCTTACAGCTTAACAAGGGAAAGAATGACAATTTCAGAGGAAAAAGACTACAGTGGAACTGAAAGAGGAGATCCAAACGGTCAACAAACACATGTGAAAGTTCCTCAATGTCACTCCTACTCAGGGAAATGTAAATGAAAACCACCATGAAATACTACTCCCTAACTACCAGACTGGCAAAATTTTAACAGTCTGAATTTAACTTGATTATCTCTCTAAAGAAAAATTAATTTTTTAAAAATTTGACAATGTGGCAAAATCAAGTGCCAACAATGTAGAATAGGTTCATTCAGTCCTTGTGAGGACTGGAAACTGTTAAAACCAGTTTTAGAAGGTAGTTTGACATTATTTAGTGAAGCTGAAGATACCTATACCTGTGACCTAGCAATTTCTAGGTACAGACCCTACAGAAATGTATGCACATATACACTGGAAAATCTAATACTCATATCAGCATTGTATAGCCAAAAATTGAAACAACTCAAATGTCAGTCATCAACTAGATAAATATACTATGGTACATTCATATAATGGTACTCAAAATACAAATGAAAGTGAAGAAACTGCAACTATACACAATGTAGTTGAACATACGAAACATCAGCTTGAGCAAAAAAAGCGAGACTCAAAAGAATACATACTGACTGCATTCACTTTAAGTTAGAAACCAGGTAAACCACACTATATTATTTAGTGGCATAATTGGTGTTAAAACTATAAACAAAAGCAATGTAATAACTGCTTAACAACTTCTAGAATTTCTAGGAGGCTAGCCATATTTTTTTTAACCTGAGCAGTTGTTACATAGATGTTCACTCTAAGTATTTACTAAAATGTACACCTTTATATGCACTGTTCCATATTTGCTATATCGTGCTATAAAATTTTTCAAATGTAAAGAGATTATGAGATTAATGGATTCAATATTCACCTATGAAATTTGCTATTAACACTTTTTGAATTTATTACAAATGAAACCACAAGCTATATCACATTAAGTTATCATCTGACATAGCTACTAAGTAGTTAGCTCTTTATTCTACCAGTCACCAGCTATGTGGCCTTGGGCAAATTAACCTTTCTGAGCCTCAGTTTTTATAAAACTAGGATAGAAAATAACAGTGCTAATTCCAGAGTTGTGAGAAGAAAATGAGATACCTATGTAAATACTTCAAACAGTACCTGGCATATAGCAAACACTCATTGTGTGTAACCATTAAATGGTATTTTAAGATGATGTTTAGATACATGCTACACATTAAGTGACCAATTTCACAAAAGCCAATGTGTTTTCATTGGTTAAAAAAGATGGTACCTATAACTGCAATACTAAATCATGCACAAAAGATAGTGGACATCTTTCACATCACTTACCATCCAGTGACACCTCCAATGAACAGCTGAGTTGCCACGCTATACTTTTCGGCTGAAGGTCCAGATTCCTGCCCGAATAGCTTACGCCACCATGGCTGCTTCTTAGCAAATTCTGCAAGGTCCAGTGACTCAAAATTTCCCTCAAAGTTTCCTACAAGAAGTAATATGTTAAATAAGAAAATATTTACTTTTATAACAAATCACTACCATACCTAAGTAGATTAAGAGATACTTAAAGAAACAGAGATAGATGTAATCAGAAACCTCCAAATATCATTCTATTTTAAATAGTAAATTTACTCTGAAATTCTAGGTTGCAATTTTTGAAAATCATACTAAAATCAGCAAATACTAATGTCTATATTAAAGGGAAAAACCTAGAAAATCTAGAATTAGTCCTCAGATTTTTCCTCTCAAATTTAAAAATAACCAAAAAGGTTAGGCACGGTGGCTCACACCTGTAATCCCAACACTTTGGGAGGCCGAGGTGGGCAGATTACCAGGTCAGGAGTTCAAAACCAGCCTGGCCAACATGGCGAAACCCCATCTCTACTAAAAATATAAAAATTAACTGGGCATGTTGGTAGGTGCCTGTAATCCCAACTAGTCGAAAAGCTGAGGCACAAGAATCGCTCAAACCCAGGAGGCAAAGGTTGCAGTGAGCCAAGATAGTGCCGCTTCCCTCCAGCCTGGGCCAAAGAATGAGACTTCATCTCAAATAAATAAATAAATAAAACCAAAAAGACCTACAAAAAACTGTCAATAATACATCCCAAATGAAACAAAATTTCTTCATTTGCCCCTTCTCTTCAGGAGTAACTCAATGCTATTCAGTAATCCACAAATTTTCTCAGTACTACATGGATTTCCAGTGATAATAAAGGTGAGAGGTAATGTTTAATTGAGTTCTTACTATTTACCAGGCACTGTGCTAAGCATTAAACATGTATATGTAATTAAATCCACAGAATAAGGTAGGTAGTACTTATTAACTCGATTTTACAATTCAGAAATGAAGGCTCAGAAGTTAAGTGATTTGGCCAGTATGAAGAAAGAATTAACAAAATGTCATTCCCTTTCTCTATGGAAAGATAACGTCAGGCTTCCCTACTATACCCAGCCTTGTTTCCCTGGAAACATACCACACTAAGAAATGTCTGACATGAAATGTCAGTAATTTACTATTCAAAGCTGTTTACTGTAAAATTGACCTCAAATGATCAACTTCATCTAGGATGAAGTCTGTACAATCTTTTCACACATAACGTAATAAACAATAGAAAATTACTACTACCCATGCAAAGGCAAAGCCAAATAAAGGAAAAAAAAATGTTTAAATAAAAGAAATAGAAGCAGGCCAGGCGCAGTGGCTCACACCTATAATACCAACACTTTGGAAAGCCCAGGCAGGGGGATCACTTGAAGTCAGTAGTTCGAGACCAGCCTGGCCAACATGGTGAAACCTCCATCTCTACTAAAAATACAAAAATTAGCTGGGTGTGGTGACGTACGCCTGTAGTCCCAGCTACTTGGGAGGCTAAGACAGGAAAATCACTTGAATGCAGGTGGTGAAGGTTGAAGAAAGAAAAAAGAAAAGAAAAGGAAAAAGAAGAGAAGCAGAACCAGAGATGATCAAGATACTGAAGTAAGCAAATAACAATGTTCAAAAAATGTTCAAAAGATTAAATACATATGTAATTGGAGTTCCAAAAGATTAGAAAGAATGGCATAGAAGTTACAGTCAAAGGGGTACACTAAAGTTATTCAAGCAGACAAGAAACGGTGCCACAAAGAAGTTTGGGAATGTAGAAAAAAATGACAGGCATTGGAATGGGTAAACAGGTGAATAAATCTAAATGAATACTTACTGTACAAAATAATAATTACAGAAATTTTATACTTTCAAAATCAAAGACAAAAATCAGAATTACAAAGTAGAAAACAGGAATAGAAGGGAATTTCTTCAATCTGATATAGGACATCAATGAAATATATACAACTAACATCATACTTAATGGTGAAATATGGAACACTTTCCTTCCCCTAAAATCTATTCAACTGTCTTTTTTTTTTTTTTTTTTGAGACAGGGTCTCACTCTGTCAACCACGTTGGAGTACAGTGGCAATATCACAGATTACTGCAACTTCAAACTTCTGGGCTCAAGCAATCCTCCCACCTCAGCCTCCCCAGCAGCTGGACTACAGTCGTGCACCACTGTGGCCAGCTGATTTTTTTTTTTGTAGACAGGGGGTCTCACTTTGTTGCCCAGGCTGGTGTGGAACTCCTAGCCCCAAGTGATCCTCCCTCCTTAGCCTCCCAAAGTGCTGGGATTACGGGTCTGAGCCACCTCACCCAGCAATGTACTGGAGTTCCTAGCCAGTGCAACAACAGAAAAGAAAAGTCAAAGAAATTAGAAAGCAGGTACAATAATAATTCCGTCTTCATTGGCAGCTAATATGACTTGTATATATAGAAAACCCAGAAAAATCTACAAAAAGCTACCAGAAGCAAGGTTACAGATTATAAGACCAATATTAAAAAGTCATTTGAATTTTTATGTATTAGAAATGATGACCTAGAAAATAATTTTAATTGCAAAAATTGTGTTGGAATAAGCTCAATGGAAAATACACAAGACCTCTTCACTGTAAACTACAAAACGCTGCAAACTACAAAACACTGCAAAGAAACTGAAGATGACCTAAAATAACAGGGATATACTATGCTTATGTTTTGCAAGATTCAATATTTTTAAGATGTTCATTCTCTCCATATACTGATCTATATATTCAATATAATCCCAATCAAAAACTATGTTTTTATGTAATTGATAAACCGGTTCTAAAATTCATATGAAGGTCCAAAAAAACTGAGCAGTGTTCCAGTTACTATGGCTGTACAACAAATTACTCCAAAACTTCATGAAGCAAAACAATAATATATTATGCTCTCAGATCCTGTGGATCAGGAATTCGGCCACAGCACTGTAGTTTGTGTCCGTTTCATGATGTTCTAAGGCTTTAGCCAGAAGGTTTACAGACTGGGTCTGAAGATTCTATACTCACACAAATAGATAGGCTGCCCCTCTATGTGAGTCAGTCTAGGCTTCCTTACAGCATAGGAGCCGAGTTCAGGAGGTAAAAGTCCCAAGAAATGGAGAGTGCAAAAGCAGTGTTACTTCTGCTACCTTCTATAGGAACAGGCAGTCAGTCACAAGCTCCCACCCAGATTCATGAAGAGGGAATATAACCCACCCCTGGGTGGGAGGAGTGTCAAAGTCACTAGGAAAAAGACCATGAGGAATCGGAAATATTGCTGCAAACAGGAAAATACAAACTGCCACAAACGGCCAGAATATTCCTGGGCAGGAAGGGGTAGTGGAGGCGGCAGGGGAGAAGAGGGTTCAAGGAATTTCAAGACTTATTATAAAGCTACAGTATAATATATAACTACCTTACTTTCAAGACTTATAAAGCTATGACATTCAACACTGTCGAACTGACCCAAGGATACCCAAATATAGCAATGGAAGAGAATCCAGAATCCAGAAATAGATACACACATATAGTCATTTGATTTGTAATAACAGCACCAAGGTACTTCAATGAAGGAAACAACAAATGATGTTACAAGTACTAGATATTTGTGTTAAAAAAAAAAAAAACAAACAAACCTACTCTCAACCTCTACCTTAAACCATACACAAAATATAATTCAAGAATTCATTCAAGATACATCACAGATGTCCATTTAGCAGAACAAAATATGGATGTTTGAGTACCTGGGTACTCTATGGCCTCACAGGTAGTTTATTTTTCTAATGTAACAACAAAACATGACAGTTATGTTGAAGAAACTCTCTTCCTAGGTTAAAGAATATTACTGAAAACAAGAATGAGTTTTCAGGTTTTTTTTAAATTTTCAGTTTTGTTTTAATGTAATTTGACCAAGCCTCTTAGATCAACAAGTGACTCCAGTCAAAAACGGGAATTAGAGACTGAGGTGGGCGGATCACTTGAGCTCAGCTTGAGCCCAGGAGTTTGGGGCTGCAGTGAGCTATGATTGTGCCACTGCACTCTAGCCTGAATGACAGATCTAGTCCCTAAAAAGGGGAGAGGGGAAGGTAGATTAAATGCGAGAAATTTGGTCAGTCATTGGTCAAACACTGCTAAGGTCTGACCTTACTTAGGTCAGTCATTGGTCAAACACTGCTAAGCACTATGACAGACAAAAGTCAGTCAGTAGCCACGTTTATGAGCCCAGGAAATCAATGATCACAGTATTATATGATCATCACTGTGATAACAATTGAAATTCATCTTAACCTCAAAATTTCTCACAACAATCTCCTAGGTGCAAATACCTGATCAACCTATACGTTTAAAGTCAATAAGAGCGGTCTGCTCTACAGAAAAATGCATAATTATCACATTGTACATTCTACCTTCCTAGAGTCATCTAAAATTTAGTGGTGTGCTGGTAAAATCCTTAACAGTCGGCTTTAGGCAGGGGCTGATTTGTAGTGCAGCCAATTTCCATTGTGTATTCATTCATTGTGACGTGAGCGTGATATAACTGAGTTGTGACACCACTGAACTCAGAGTTGGGAAGTGATGCACAGTAGAGCACCATAGTATAGTATCTCCTCCACACAGATGCAATAAATGTATAAATAACCTCAAAAGCAAAGTAACAATAAAACATGGTAAATAATAAAAGTGATAAGTATTTAGTATCTTCACTGCTTTTGTTTTTAACATAATTTATAATTTCAGGTGTATATAATTGAGTTTTCGATGATGACTCTGTTTAGCAATGGGATCCTGTGAGTCAGTAAGCATTCAAAACAGGGTAAGAAGCATAACTTAAAAGACGTGCTCTACTGCGAATTACACAAAATCGTCCTTCGACTATGCCGACTAAACAAAAGGGTATTCCTAAGTACCATCCCATATACGCTAGTTTTTCAAAACCATCAATAATGCAGCTGGGGAGGCGCCTTGTACACAGAATGACGCCACGAGGCATTTGACATGAACGTCCAAAGGCACAAAGAAGCCAGAACGCTTCTGAGAACAGAAACAGAATGTCTGCGGGCTTTAGCTGCTGTGGGCGGCGCCGGAAGGCTGGGTGAGGTCCACTGGAGACGAAACCCCTGGGTGGTTAGGCCCCAGACATGCGTGTGACCTTGGCCAGACCCTGGGAGCTGCTAGTCCAGGGTCGAGCCCCGAGGGCCCTCCCCGTCCCCGTGCCGCTCGGGCTGCCGGGGGACCTCGGTCGGCACTGGCGGGAGCAGAGCCCTTCCCCTTCCGGAGCCCAGGAAGGCGGCTCCCCGCGGCGCTGGCCGCGCGCGCGCCCGCCCTTACCTTGACTGGACGCAGCCATTTCGAGGACCTCGTCTCGCGAGGACACACGGAGAGGATCTGCGCGGTAGGCGTCGGAGTGGCGCGCAGTCGTCGCCACCACTTGGCTTCCGGCACGTGGGGCAGATGTTTCCATTCCCACGGCGGCGACGGAAGAGGGCGGGCCGGGGGCGCGGCGGCCGCTTCCTGTCTCAGCTAGCATCTGCGTCACAGAGCTCAGCGGACTGTGTCACAAGCCCTGCAGCCACGCCCAACTGATGCACCGAGACGCGCGTGCGCAGAGAGCCTCCGGGGGCTGAGGCTCCCTCCCCCACTCCCACCGTCTTCCACGCCCTACCAACAAGGGCGGTGAGGGCTCGCTCGCCAAGTACCTGGAGGAGACTTCCTGACACGACTCTGACTCAATCCTCAATCCTTGCCTGGTTAAGAATATTCTGCCTATGACTCACTGAAAATAAAGACGGCTGAGAGACCGTGTTTGTTCATGTAAACATCAAGCAAATATTTATCGGCTCCTGCAATGTGCCCGACTCTTAGTGGAAGAAGACACATTTTATTTATGTATTTAATTTTTATTTTCTTTATATTTTTTTAGATGGAGTCTTGCTCTGTCGCCCAGGCTGAAGTGCAACTGGCTCGATTTTGGCTCACTGCAACCTCCGCTTCCCAGGTTCGAGCGATTCTCCTGCCTCAGCCTCCCAAGTAGCTGGCATTACAGGCGCCCGCCACCATACCCAGCTAACTTTTCTATTTTTAGTACAGACAGGGTTTCGCCATATTGGCCAGGTTGGTCTCGAACTCCTGACTTCAGATGATCCACTCGCCTTGGCCTCCCAAAGTGCTGGGATTACAGGCGTGAACCAACACACCCGGCCCATGTATTTAATTATTCTTTTGAATTTTACTACATGTGAGTTATATTTAATAAAACTGACATCAAAATATAGCAACAGAAAATCCAGCAACAATTTCTATTATGTTAGTTAAAGCAGCGAGTCTTTTCCTTTACTTTTAAAATGTATTTATAAATGTAATTAGTGAATAATAATAAACATTGACATTATTTGATCCACTGCCTTAGGAGTGACACAATTTAAGTAACTCAAGCTATTTTCTTTATAATCATTATGCTATCGTTTTCTTTTCCTTTTCAACTATACTGCTTAATATAGGATTTTGTAGCACTGTAAGAGTTGAGTAAAAATAAAATAAAAATATACCTTATCTATGAAGATTTCCAGTTTATGGTTTCTATTTGCTACAAATGGTCACAGTACTCTTTTGCAATTCTCTTTTACCACAATACCATATTGTTTTGTATATTGTAATTATTTGTGAATATGTAGTTGTTAATATTGTAGGTTTTAGAGAATCCCTGAAAACATAAAAATTTGGAAATGGGGTCTATTTGATTTAAAATTTAATAATTCCAGCACTTCGAGAGGCCGACGCAGGTCGATCACGAGGTCAGGAGTTCAAGACCAGACTGGCCAAGAAGGTGAAGCCTCGTCTCTAATAAAAATACAAAAATTAGCCAGGCGTGGGGGCAGGCGCCTATAACCCCAGCTCCTCGACAGGCTGAGACAGAGAATTGCTTGAATTCAGGAGATGGAGGTTGCAGTGAGCAAAGACCGTGCCACTGCACTCCAGTGTGGTCGACAGAGCGAGACTCTGTCTCAAAAAAAAAAAAAAATCGATAAAATTTTTCAAGCAAATAAGCCCTTGGACTAGAGAATGTTATTCCTTAAAAAGTGCTTCTATCAATATAGCCTCTGACTCATTACTTTGTTAATTTTTAAATTGTATTTCATTCCTGATCAACATTCCCACCTAGATTATTATAGTCTACTGTAGAACTTTAAACATGTTGGATTGTACTGTACTTGTCTGGAAGACACATTTTAAAACCATTGTAATCGCTACAAATAAGAAAGGAGCCCTTTAACAGTGTGCCAAGGCACTGGGAAGAGTGACAGGTATATCGCCCTAAGGGCGCCTAAGCTACTCTTGCAGTCATCCCCATCCCAGTTAGTCAACTTTACTATTCAAAAAACATTGGTGTACCAAATTTTTTCCTCTCAAAGCCCACAGATGCAAAATTCATCAGCAACTCCCACAAACGTTACCTTCACAATGAATCCAGCCACTTTTCACCCTCTCCAGTGATACCATCATAGCTCAAGCCGCCACCAATTCTCACCCCCAGTTAACAGGTCACCCTCCTTCTACCCTTGTCCCGCTAGAGTTTGTTCTGCTTGCCGTAATGAGAACTATCAGGCTAAAACATAATTCCGATCACCACCCTCCTCTACTTAGAACCACACTGTGTCTCCCCATTGCCCTCAGTGTAGAAGTCAAAGTCCCTCTGTTGAAATGCAACCTTAGTGAGACTTTCCATGACCTCTTTCAAAATTGCCACCTGGTCCACCCCTACTCCCCCTTACCCCACTTCTCTTTTTTGCACAGCACTTATTTTACCTCCTAACACACTGCATAATTTTTACTTATCCCTCTTTCAGTTGCTTATGTTTTTTATCAGTGTGTACCCAATGACTAGGAAAATATCTGTCTAGGACACATGGATAATTAACCTCTCTGTACCTCAGTTGCTTTATCTGTATCCACTTTGCAGTGTTGTTATGAGGATTAAATCAGACGGCATATGTGTAGCACCTGGCAGAGAATTTATCACCCTGTACTGTAACTGTCTACTTGTCTGTCTCCTCCATTGGACTGTGATTCCCAGGGCGTCAGGAACTGGGATTTCTTCATTTCTGAGGCATAGAAGTGAGGGAGTATGTTAACTTCTCTTCCGGGGTCCACAAGGGGCGTGGTTTCAAAGGCAAGAACTTACCAGCGCCATGCCTCCATCCTCCTCCCCATCCAGGAACCTAGAGTTCTTTGTCTAACTTTCCTGCACGCGGGCTAGGTAAAATTCCAGGTAAGCGTCCTTTGTTCAGAAAGCCCGCGAAAAGCCCTGGAAGGAGGGGCTATATTGCGCGCCAAGCAGCCAATCCAATATCGGAGCCAAAGATCAATCACTCCAGAGGACGTTTAAAAGAACTCCTCTCACTGGACGAGAACATAAATGGGGCGGGAATAACTTCAATGTTAAAACTCCACTTGCACGGATTTCCCTTTCTGGGATGCCCTCCCACAACAGTGTGGGACCTCGCTCTGGTTATCTGTCTTTCTCTCTCTGCCTAATAAATCGCCCTCTGCAAAACTCTTTGGGTCCAATAGTTACTTAACCGGTAAGCTCACCGTGCCGCCATGGCCTCTTCCCCATTCCTGGGGCGAGGAAGCCCAAAAACCTCCGGGACATCAAATGGAGGGGAGGAGGTGAGCCCCATCCCATCCCACGACCCAGTTACAGAAGCATAGCATAGTGGTTAACAGCATGACTTCTGGAGTCAGAGTACATGGATTCGAATGCTAACATTAACAAGCTGTGTGGCCATGCGGAACTTGCCTAACCTCTCCGTGCTTAAGTTTCAACATCCATGAAATTAAGGTACGAATAGCAGCTGTATTTAAAAGCACCTAGAACACACCTGTCTCGCAAACTACGTGTGATACTCTAGGGCCTAGGCCAGGATAAAGACGTAGGCTTTTACTCTGACGGAGGTCGGAAGCCATTGGAGGATTCTGAGAAGAGGAGTGACAGGACTCGCTTTATAGTTTTAAATTATAACTATAAATTGTAGTTTTAAAACTCCTGTTCACTTTGACTTCTCCACCCCTCTCTTCCTTTCCTTAAAGGTTCTGGTTAAAACAGACTTCTCATGCCCCTACTGCTCTCAGAAGTGAATGGGTTAAGTTTAGCTCAGCCTCCCTTTTCCTACTTCAGTTCTTCCTGTGGCTGCTTCCCACTAACAAAAAGGAAGCAATTCTATCGGTTACTACTTAGTGCTAAGCACATCCAGTGGGTAAAGTTCCCTAAAATTCTCTGCGAAGAAATTGGGACTTTTCACTAAATCAGAAATTTTACTTTTTCCCCTCCTGGGAGCTAAAGATATTGTTAAGAAGAATTAACATTTTGCTTCTCCAGTTGAACATTTGCAGCGATAAGTCATGCAAATAGAGCTCTCCACCTGCTTCTTTCTGTGCCTTTTGCGATTCTGCTTTAGTGCCACCAGAAGATACTACCTGGGTGCAGTGGAACTGCCATGGGACTATATGCAAAGTGATCTCGGTGAACTGCATGTGGACACAAGGTAAAGGCATGTTCTGTAGGGTCTGATCATGGGCCAGGATTCTGGGGATATAAGTCTGCTTGGAGAAAGGTGCAGACATTGGATTAGGATGGTTGTGATGCTACCTGGGCCCCAAAGAAACATTTACGGGTAAGATGTGCACACATCTGTATTATTAGCAGAAATGCTAATTGCCAATTCTTTTCATAGGTCTGACCTGTTCGTTGATATTTTGTTCTATTTTGTCCATTGTTTCTCTTTGTCACCTGCTGCTCCTCCAGATTCTAGAGACGAGTAGAGGGAGGGTGAAGGAACAAAGACAAAACTGCCCTCCACCAGCCCAAGCTTCCATAGAGAGATTCAAGGCAATGAAATCCAATCAATATCACACACAAGTTTAATGTCTAGTTCTCTTGTGTGTACATGCGATGTGTGTCCTTTTGTATCTTTTCCTACTCTGGGTGTTAAGTATAAAATCAGCCATGAGGTCAGAAGCTTTTAATGTTTTGGGGGTTCTGGTGCATTTAGGGAGACTACTAAATAACTTTGTCAATATTGTCTATGATCATCAGTTGATTCAGATTTTTCTACCTCTTCTTCAGTAAATATTGGTATATTTTTGGTCTATATTTTGGTCTATATTTTCATAGAAAGCAATTTACTATCCCTAGATTTGATAATGTATTGGTATCAAGTCACATAAGAGTCTCTTGTGATTTTGTTAAACTGTTCTGTGTCTTTCGTAGTTATAGTTCCTTTTTCATTCCTTATGTTGTTTATGTTCTCTTTCTTTTTTAAAAATAATATTTCTGGGAGTTTTCTTGATTTTATTGGTCTTGTCAAGAATTATCTTTTGGTTTAATTTATCAACCTCTTTTTTTCTGTCGCATCAGTTTCTGCTTCTACTTTCATTAATTCATTCCTTCCTTCTAGTTTCCTTTGGTTCATTTTGTTGTTCAATTTTTGCTTATTGAGTTGAATGCTGAAATTGTTTATTTTATATTTTGTTTTGTCTTCTTCAAATGTGTATTGTAAAGACTTAAATGTGCTCATGTTGGCTCCTCACCTTCCATCAGTCCCTTTCTCCCCCACCTCAACTAGGTAACCCCAGTACGATAATACGTATTCACACACATACACACACACAAAAAAAGGTTTTCTTGGACATTATTTGTTTTATAACATTGGGACATTATACACACATTTCTCACTAATTAACACCTACTAGAACTCTAAGTCAATTGGCATACCTTGAATTCATTATTTTTATAAGTTATGTAAGATTCTATGGTATGGCTGTGCCATAATTTAGTCAATACATTCACTTTATTCCCGTTTCGTGGCTACTATATCCTATATCATTACATACTGGTGCTTTTATAACTGTCGAACAAATTTGCAAGAGGAATATTACTGGAACGAAGGGAATGTTTCCTTCTAAGTTTTAATTTCCAACAAGACCAGAACTTTTCACACATTTCCACCACTGAAGTATGAAAATGCCCTTCTCTGTGCATTCACATTAGTGATGTTTTATCCTGTTTTTAAAATTTGCCAGTTTTATACATGTAGAATGATATTGCATCATTACTTTCATTGTGTTCTTATTATTTCTAATAAGTTGAGCATCTTTTTAAATGCTTGTTTGCTATTGGATTTATTTGGGGGATTTAACTAGTCATATGCCTTGCCTATTCTTCTTTGGGCTCTTTCATTTAAAAAAAAATATGAGAACCCTTTTCTTATTACAAGTATTAACCCTTTGTCATGTATATTGCAGTTTCCCCCAAGATCTGTTGTTTGTCTGTTGACTTTGTTATAATTTTTACCAAAACAGTTCTTAATTTTTATAATCAGAGATATCTTTTCTTTCATATCTTCAGAGTTGACAAGTTTGGTTAAAAATGTTTTCCACACCTCAAGACTGTATGTGTAGTCTTCCAGATTTTCTTGCCAGATGTTTACTGTTTCGCTTTTTATATGCATTCCTTCAGTTCATCTGCTAATTACTTTTTGCATATGGCATGAGAGGGATTTGCCTAGTTTTAGTTCCATCCAGATCAATGGTCTATTGTGATGACACCTTTTGCCACTGATTTGAATCAACACATTCATCATATAAAATTATCATATTTATTAGCATATATTTCTGGATTCCTTAGGCTGTTTCACTAATATACTATTATCTTGTTATGCCAATATTATACTGGTTTGATTACCGTCAGTCTATGATATCTTCTGATATCTGGTGGGTGAAAGCAATCCTCACTATTCTTTTTATACCTTTCTTAGCTATTCTTAGACACTTTATTCTTCCACATAAAAATGTTAAGATATTTTTCAAATTAAAAAGATTGAAGCCCTCTTGTGATTCTAACTGAAATTTCATTAAACTCATATCTTAATTTTATTAATATAATAAATTTAAATAATTTTCTTATTACATTTATCTCTATGTATTTTATAAGTATGATGCTATTGTTAATAAAGTAGTTTTCTCCTATTTCCATTTATAAGTGCTTAGTACCAGAATAGAGATAAGCTATTGGTTTGTTTATATTCAGCTTTTTCTTCTGAGACAGAGTCTCATTTTGTCACCCAGACTGAAGTGCAGTGGGGTGATCTCACCTCACTGCAGCTTTGTCCTCCTGGGTACAAGCAATTCTCCTGTCTCAGCCACCCAAGTAGCTGGGACTACAGGAGCTAGTCACCATGCTCGGATAATTTTTGTATATTTTTTAGAGATGGAGTTTCACCACATTAGCCAGGCTAGTTTTGAACTCCTGAGCTCAAGCAATCCGCCCACCTCAGCCTCCCAAAGAGCTAGGATTACTGGTGTGAGCCCGCACCTAACCAGTGATTCATCTTAAATCTAGCTACCTTACCAAATTTGCCTATTAATTCTAGTAATTTTACCTTAGAGTTTCTGAGTATTGAATCATATCATCAGTCAAATGAGATAGATTTTAGCTCTTTTCCAATGTTTATAGCCCCTTATTTCATTTTCTGCTTGAATTTATTAGAAAACAAAAAAAAATGTTAAATAATAACAATGAAAGTGAACATTTCTTCTACCCTATGATTTTACTTGAAATAGTTTTTGTATTTTGCTATTTAGAGTAACATTTGCTGTTTGGTTTTGGTAAATGGTGTTTGTTACTTCTATTCTCATTTGCCACAAAATGTTTATCATAAATGACTTTTCAGCAGCTGGTATCATCTGAATTGTCTTCTTTGATATGTTGATAAACAAGTTATGTTAATAGATGTCCTAACACTAAATACCCTTACATTCTTGAAGTAAAATCTACTATTCATGTAATTTGATTATTAGTGGGTTCTGTGTGCTACTATTTCTTTAGATACTGTGTGCCTTTAAATGTGAGATTGATCAATAGCTTTTTTTTTTTTACTGTTATTACTAGGTTTTCACTACTCAACCTACTATAATAATAGTAAACAAAGTTTTGTTGGCTTTATCAAATGAATTGATGAGTGCTCCATCTATTTCTATCGCTTAGAATAGCTTAAGTAGCATTTGAATTATCCATTGTCTAAAAGTTAGGCAAGACTCACTTATGAATCCATTTGCTCCTACTGACATTTGCCAGGCTCTTCTATGATAATCATTCAGTTCAAGTTTCAACTTATTTTAGGGTCAGCTCTAATAATTATATACCTTTCTGGGAAGTAACTTTTTTTTTTCAATTTTGTTGTCACAGTGTTGTATGGAGCACTCACTGGTGATTCTTTTACTCCACATTATCTGTAGTTATGTGCCCTTTCTCATTCCTAAATTCTTCTATCTTTGCTATGTATCTTTTTTCCTTGAATAAGCTTACCAGTGATTTGTCTATTTTGTTGCTGGTGGTGCTCTTTTCAAAGAATGAGCTTTTGGATTTATTTGTTTTTCCTAGTTGTTATAAAGCATTTTTATTTTCCCTGAGCAGAAAAATAAAAAGCTATTGGTTAATTAACTGTGCTGTTTTATTGGCACGTAGCTATGCACTGTTCACACATTAATATATAAATCCTCCATTTTATTTTGTCCAATGGCAAAACACGAACAGTGAGATTTCCTATGCAAAAAGTGAACAGTTCTACAATGCTAGCCCCGTATACCTTTATTAACATTCCAGAGACTTGTCCTCTCAACATGATCTGACTTCTAAAGGATAACTTTTCAAGAAAATTATTTTCTGATCAGTGGAGCTTGGAGATATAAAGAAATAAGCAATCGGCCAAGTGTGGTGGTTCATACCTGTAATCCCAGCACTTTGGGAGGCCAAGGCAGGCAGAGCACCTGAGGTCAGGAGTTCGAGACCAGCCTAGCCAATGGTGAAACCCTGTCTCTACCAAAAATATTTTTTTAAAAAATAAGCCGGGCATAGTTGTGCTTGCCTGTAATACCAGCTACTCAGGAGGCTGAGGCAGGAGAATTGCTTGAACCCAGGAGGCAGAGGTTGCAGTGAGCTGAAATCGTACCACTGCACTCCAGCCTGGGTGACAGAGCATGACTCCATCTCAAAAAAAAAAAAAAACCTCTCGTATTCATTAACTGGACCTCAACTTTCTTAAAGTTCACCACAAAGATGAACTCCATGAAGGTACTAGTCTCAAAATTCAGTGTGCATAAGAATCACTCGGGAAGCTTATTAAAATGCAGGTTCCTAGGCCCCATCCTCAGCAAACTATTTTCTCCCCAGGTGATTCTACTCCATCCTGCCCCAGCTTTACTGAGGTATAATTAATAAATAAAAAGTGTATATATGTAAGGTGTACAATATACTGTTTTTATGTAAAATGGTATACCATTAAGGGTTTTCTTTTCATTGTTTTCAGAATAGTTTGTAATATCTTCTTTGATTTCATCTTTGATAATCTAGAAGTATGATTTTAATTGCTTTTTAAATTTGTCTATCAAGTTTGTAGTATTTGGATCAACTTTGAGTATCTTGTTAATTTCCTATTGGCTGTGTAACAAATTACATCAAATGTATCAGCTTATGACAACGCCCATT